TCTCAATCTTTGGGAATGATACAGAGAAGATTAGCACGACCTCTGCGCAAGGATGACACACACAAATCGAGAAAAGGTTGAAAAAAAAAAAAAGCTCGATAGATTCATTAGTACATTACCTGGGTGGGAGAGGAGGAGGTCGTGAACAACGAGGGCGACGAGGAAGGGGAGGAGGACAACCTGGAGGAGGAGACGAAACGGAGGGATGGGAACGATACAAAGAAGATTAGCACGACCTCTGCGCAAGGATGATACACACAAATGGAGAAAAGGTTGAAAGAAAAAAAAAAGCTCGATAGATTCATTAGTACGTTACCTGGGTGGGAGAGGAGGAGGTCGTGAACGGCGAGGGCGACGAGGAACGGGAGGAGGACACCTGGAGGAGGAGACGAAACGGAGGGATGGGAAAGATACAGAGAAGATTAGCACGGCCTCTGCGCAAGGATGATACGCACAAATCGAGAAAAGGTAAAAAAAAAAAAAAAAATCGACAGATTCGACACCTGTGGGAGAGGAGGAGGAGGAGAAGGAGGAGAAGGAGGAGGACAACGAGAACGGAGGACGAGGAGGAGAGATGGAGGACGAGGAAGGGAAGGAGGAGTAGGACGAGCGGGAGGAGAGGAGGAGGAGGAGGAGGCAGTGATGATGATGAAGGGGAGGTCGAGGCCGGTGATACTCACCGGGCGATGGCGGCAGCTCCTCCCTCACAGGACAGCACGGCAGCACGGCAGCACGGGCGGCACTTGAGAATGGTGGCAGCTCCTCCTTGAAATGGCAACGACACTCCTCGCAGGAATGGTCGTGACCGACCACTTACCTACCCAAGAGGCCCAGCCAACCCCACACAGAGTAGAAAGAACTGGAAACAGGTTTCGAAAATTCCAAACCTCGCGGTCCGGCCTTGAGCGCGGTCCGAAAAAAAATGATTTTGGCCTTCGCAACAATTTTGGCGGGGGGCGTCTGATGTGCCGTTTCGACCCCTACCTTTTTTTTTTCGGGGGGGGGG